AATCTCACGTGGACTTCGCTTTCTAGCTTGTGTTTGGGAATGCCTGCTGCCTCTTAGGCCGATCTGGAAGATAGCATGAGACCAAATCCCCGAGAGCTCCTATACGGCCCTTGTAACGCCTGCTCATGGGCGTGTTAGATGGCCTGCGGCCCACAGGACACCGGACATTTGTTGGATAAATTGCATCTCTCGGATGCAATAAGCAGGAACTGATTGCATCTAGAACATCTAATTAACATGAACAGAGAAGGTTTAGGAGACAATTACAGATGGATGATGTCGACATCGTTGCCTGCTTGATGCAGGCTTGATGCAGGCTTGATGAAGTGGTCGATGCAGATCGGTCGCCTGCTTGATGCAGGCTTGATGAAGTAGTCGATGCAGATAGATCACCAGGGACTAGCCTGGCACAGCAGCGGCGGCTGGAGTAGGTCTTCCCGTCGCTGCAGCGCTCCCCCTGATCGGATGGGGTGAGAGAATATCGGGAGGGGAGTGAAACCATACGAGAATTGTGATCGCGCATGCTGCCAACCCTCTCCCGTACCCCCTTTTATCTAGCGCTGGCGACAGGGGACCTAAACCATAAGTTGGTTTGGGTGCCCCCGATCAGGGCGCCTTAGTTGGGATAAAAACCTCACGTACGTTGGTGCGTGGGGCCTTTTCATTAATGTTATCATTCTTGTTTTTTCTGTTAAATTAATAGATCTAACTAGCATGTTTAAGCCGTCAGATCAAAACCAACAACATTAACCTTTGATCATTGATTTTTGGAAAAAGTTCATAAATTTCAAAAACAGTTCACAAAATTCGAATTAAGTTCAGCACCCTGGCAGCAAGAAACACAAATGCAGCATTGGATTGTTGCTTGAAGTCACGCAGAACTATCACTTCACTTCCAATCGACCAAAAAAGTGCAGTTGCTTAAGATTGCAAGAGAACTCCAAAAGTAATCGGACTACCTTGGAGGCGACCACCTTCCCTTGTGATGTCTCGTGCAAGATGAGCCTCCTCCGCGACTTCCTTGGAGGTATGTCTCAGCCTGCCATCCTCCGGCAGATGCCCGGTCATCTGGACGACACCTTCTCGGCCGCCGCGGCCACCTCCTCCCCGACCTCCGCCGCGGTCTCGGCGGCATCCTTCACTATCTCCACTTCATCTGAATGAATGGAAGCAGTCCATCACAAACTAGTCTGAGTAATGTATCCATTGATTCCATCTTCCTACCATAACGATCTCCGCTGGCCCAACACCTGAAAATGCGCCGCCGCGCGTGGCAGGCCAGCGGTTGTCGCAGCCGAGGCGGGTGGTGCCACGAATCAGCCACACATACAGTACCGAATGAACTGGTGGAACGAGCTGGCAGGAGACATGTCCGATTTTGAAAACGAACTGGTGCATGATGAACCTGTGCCGAATGTGCACGCCAGCGGGTATACTGCCACACATACAGTACCTTGCAAGTACCAGCGTCGCTAATTAATCTGGCCACGTTTGCCCAAAGCGTAAGTAATGGTGCACATTCTCCGTTCCTTTTTACTACCATTTTCGTCTTATATTTCTTTTTTAGTTCTAATATATAATTTGTTGCTGTCCTTTTCTAGCTTTTGCGGGTTTTATGTTGCTGTCATCTTACAAGAATATATCCATGTAATTTTTTGAAAAGGATATATCCATGTAATTAAGAGATGTTCTTTTTCTTTACCTGTCCATGCAACTCTTTTTATACCAATTTCTCTTGAATGATGAGAAATAAAATAAGTTATTCAGCATCTTTGTCAGTGCAGAAGTTTTTTTTGGTACAAAACGTTTTTAATGATTAATGTGAACATATTCTATGGATAAATAATATACTTCTCCATAAAAAAATAATTCCAAAACGAGGTGAAACATATAAAAATGATTTCCTCCTGACATAATGTTTTTTTGTTTGAAATGATTTTCAGGAGTTAAGTAGACATTTATTTTATATACAAGTACATTTGTCAATTCATGCAAAAAAAACATTATAAAATAAATGTACTTTTTTGGAGTTCATTCCAATTTTTACCCTCAATTTCCACGTTTGTGACAGATATTACCCCATTCAGCGAACATTCTCAATTTATACCCCATCTAAGGAAACGTATGCCATATTTTACCCATTTAGTATTTCCCCAATTTTGGTGTTGACTGGGTGCCATGTTGCGGTTTATTTTACTGTCCGGTTTTATTCTATTGCACTCGGCTCAAGCATGAGTGCTCCATCAATGTTTAGCTCTGTGAGGTTGCCTGGCACCCACACAGAGCAAGAGCACCGTGACGGACGCAATCCATATAGTTTTGAGTTCATGTTCAACCATGACAACACAAAGGTCAGTGAACAT